TTACACGTGTTTATGATATACTCCCTTACACGTGTTTATGATATAAACCGTTTACACGTGTTTATGATATACTCCCTTACACGTGTTTATGATATAAACCGTTTACACGTATTTATGATATACTCCCTTACACGTGTTTATGATATACCCCTTTACACGTGTTTATGATGTACTCCCTTACACGTGTTTATGATATAAACCCTTTACACGTGTTTATGATATACCCCTTGACACGTGTTTATGATATAAACCCTTTACACGTATTTATGATATACTCCCTTACACGTGTTTATGATATACCCCTTTACACGTGTTTATGATATACTCCCTTACACGTGTTTATGATATAAACCCTTTACACGTGTTTATGATATACCCCTTGACACGTGCTTATGATATACTCCCTTACACGTGTTTATGATACACCCCCTTTACACATGTATATGATATACATGATTTACTTTTAACACATATTTTGAAATACTTGATGCACGTGTTAATGATCATGGATGTATTTTATGTACAAATATATCTGATTTCTCTTTGCATGTATAATGTCCTTCCTGCGTATATTATGAAAAGAATGTTCTGTGTATATTATATTACTGACGAGGTAATGGTTTATGCGGTTGCTTTACACTGTATGATGATATACACAATCTTGTTACACTTTTGACAGATCTGAAGTGTAAAATATTCAAAGTACACTCTGAGTGGCCTTAACAGATATAATGTCTCACTGTCGCTAATTGCTTTCGAATTCGATTGCATCTGATAATATTAATGGTACACACATATTTCAGATCGGACTTGTATAGGACGTTAAACGTAAAGAAAAACGAGTTTAGTGTCGGCACGAACTGTCGTGAGAACATTCCTCACAAATGTACAAGACTGTACAGAAAACACACAGACGAATAACACTTTTCCATGCAAATTTGTCACCAGATACTGTAATACAAACATAATCTAGATAGAGACGTGCACTAACTCCATAACTGAATGGGTTTCGTTATTAAGATAATACGGATGACTACACACGAAGTGCAAGTAAACAAACAATTTTATCTAAAGCATCATACATATGATCTGCTTGGCTCAGCTAAAGTCAATTTTCAAAATGAATACCATATTTACCGTAGTCTTCTTTATTTGGGAGAAGATTTATATAGGCCCTAGCTTGCTGTCTAATCCTATTGATTGTTTATATCAATAAAATATTCTGAAATGAAAAAATACCGTAGTCTCAATTTAGGGTCTTTTCAAAACAGAAAATAAAATAATAATAACTTAAAACTTAGTGAAAAATAGTAAAATGCAAATATTGCTAATTCTTGAAATAGAAATACATTAGAAGATATAAGGCGTTTCTGTGTCAGTAGGTAAATATGATAACTGATTTCACTCTTACGGTATACATGTTAATGTCAAATGCATCGCAGTCATACCTTATTTGAAAAGTAGAATAGACGGAACCTGCAATATTTTAATGAATTTGATAATGATTCGAAATTTTTTATCAGCTTTGATAAACTGAACTACGTAAATTTGAAAATTGTCCGAAGGTGATGTATTTCAGAGCGTTCCTAATGGTTACTTAGTCGCAAAGGCTACGCTCTATAGGTGACCTTCTCCATCTTACAACCTTGGCAGAACATCAGATCCTTGGAGTGGTAATTGATATCGTAATACTGAACTTTCACACGGTCTAGTTGTCGACTATTTAATGTACAATAATGGGTTCAATGATGTGAGTTTGGACTTGTTTTAGGCCTCATCATTACAGCTTGGCGAAGTCTTTGTGTTCCTGAGATAATTTCCCTACAAGATTTCATTCCGTATTTTACCTGAGATTCATATCTTTCCTCGTCTGTTGCAATTCCGAACGGTCATAGTATATAAATGCCGTGTACCTTATTGTCCATTAATATGTGCATACTTAGCTTCTGCTTAGTTCAAAGTTTACTTATCTGATATTACATATACTTAACTTACAATTAGATTTAAGGTTTACTCCCGAGAATTCCTTACCTACATCATATACTTTACCTATAATTAGATTTAAGTTTAATTCCCGAGAATTCCTTACCTACATCATATACTTTACCTATAATTAAATTAAAGTGTCACTCTCGATAACTTTTTACCTAAATCGCACTTTCTATTAAATTAATACTTACTATTTGGTTAAGACCGATTTAATATTTCGTTAGAATATACCTGGTATTGATTTGATAATTTATTATTTTGTTTATACAGAATTATCAGGAAGTTTCTCCTGACTGGCCAACTAAATCGATATATGTACAACAATTTCTGGATTTATTGTTTATCAAACTTTTTAATTTTGAAAATTTCCGTGTTTTAACTTGATTTTTATCATTTATTCAAAAAAGTTTAAATTTTAAAGATGCAAGAATATATATCCGTTCTAATTTTTCCTAACGCTCTTTATATGAGAGATTCAACATTGACTAGTGTTACACATTTAAAAAAAAGTATATCATTAATGAAACAATTATATAACACGTGATTTTGTTCATTGCCATATTCACCTACTGTTTTGCTCGAGTTTTGTCATATGATCGGTAGACAGATTAACTATAAATAAAACACATTAAGGAATTACACATGGCGTAATTAATTATGGCTTTTCTGCTAAATCTTGTTAGATATTGTCTGTGCACGGTGACAGATTTATGGATGGTGAATCGCCACTGAGAACCCTTGATAGATATAACAAACCTAACACCATGGACTGACATATACTTACCAAATAGTATTTACTGTGTACCTTCATTGTGTAATTAACCATTAACTTTATGTTCAGTATTTATGATTTATTATTTTACCATATAGATTCAGATGAATTTTCAGTCCTTTACATTTGTTTTATCGTTCAAACGTCCCTGACGTAATTTCCTCAAAGCTACTGACCTTGTGATACGTCTGACTGAAATGATATCCCATATGTTATGCAAATAGTAAAACATTATAAGGTCTAAGTTCAGTAAGACTCGAAATAGGTTTTTATTACCACTGCTTGTATAAATATAACTATCAGCATTTGGGTTGTCTTTCTGATCTACCAGAGTTACCTCCCTTCGATTCATTACCTTGTAAACAAATGAGTTGGGAATGTTTACTTGTGAACACTGGCATTATTGTTTAATTCCTGTACGTAAACATAATTCATTTAATTTATACACAGTGCTGCTGTATGTGTGCTAATATATCTCATGTCAAAGGAATGAAGGACCATAATCACATCGTCTTTAGTGCTTAGATTGTGCACGAGATTCTGGGTAAGGAATGACTTGATAAGAGATGGCTTGCTGGCTATTCAGGTGCTTACCTCCATGGTCTTTACGGGAGGAGGATGACATATACAAACCAAATACAACATGCTATTAATTATAAATGATGACACTTCCTCATTCTGTCAACTAGAACTTTTTAAACATTTACATTGTTTCCGGGAAGTGAATGAAGTTTTATTAATTTGTTTAATGTGTTGGGTAGCTATTGATTATCAAGCCGAATATTTTAACTTCACCTTGTAAAATAGCTTAATATCTCTGGATTATTGAGCAATAGTTTTGTATCCAAGGATCTGATTATGAATCAGTATAGGTATAAAAAGACGTGTTGGTATTGATATTTTTTTATTTGTACAACAATAAGTTGCGATATAGCGAAAAAATGAATTAAACTGCACCTTTCAACTGTTCCGTCCTGCGAGGACACGTCAGTAATGCTAAGGGCCATAACTGTGTAAGCCAAGAGGACAGTTGAGCAAAATAATGACAATAAAAAATGGTCGAAACAAATGGCAGAAATCTGGGTGGGGATGTGCACTAACCACTTAACTTTAATTACATGAATTAATTTTGACAACGACTTAAATACCGGTAAACTCGACGGTCAAATAACCTTCGGTAAGTATACTTAACTATTTTAGTCATCATTATCATCATCTCTTTATTTCCTCATTTCTGAGATACATACATATAATGGTAATAGGAAGTGTAATACCTAATATACAATGTACATTGCCCAGTATAATTACGTTATAATTATAAACTTTGGTATTTTACCGTATCTTTAAGGAACAGGTTGTTCATGTACACACATAAATTTTATATATGTCACGATTATATGTGTATAAATACAAATGTGTATAATTACAATATCTCTTATATTCAGAACTAGCTCGTATCCAGTAAAATATTCGCGTTCAAAGTTTCAGTGTACTTTTTACATCTGAAGTATTAGCAATAAATGGTAATTAGTGACTGACCATTCACAAATATATAATGATTTAGTACAGTTCAATAGTATAACGAGTTAAATAAACTCGGCAGTCAAATAAGCTTCGGTAAGTATACTTAACTATTTTAGTATTTATTTTAATAGTCTCTTGCCAAAAATAAGTTTTCCAACATAGGTCCGAAGAAACAGACAACTTTGTAGACCCAAGAAGTATGTAGTGACTAAGATGACATTAAAGCAGAATCATTTTTCTTTCAGTGTATTCTATAATTGTTACTTATACTACGCCAACACTGAAAACAGGACAAGCTTTATTTTGACCCAGGCGGAAATTGAAGGAGAGTCTTGATACAATCCATCATTACTACATGCCTGTTTAAGCGGGAAATGGAACAGCAGTCGTGTTTCAGCGACAAACTTGTTGAGAAAAATATTTTGTATATTACAGAAAAGAAAACGAAAAATGAAGCAAACATTTTATATAAAAATAGTTTAATACAATAAACATAAAGCATAGTTATCACAGACAAGGCCATCCTCATTACCTACAAGCCTCTTGTAAAAATATCATACAAACAACAACGAAACACGCGCATACACGTGCACATACACGTGCAGATAAATCTCTCAGATGGACAATTGCTTTAGTCTTTTCTCCGCGCCCTGTAATGGTAACCTTTAAGTGAGACTGAAGACAATATAATTTTGTGAATTCTGTTCTGCGATAATTGTTTTCAAACCGTCATACACAAATCATTGACTCCGACCATTTTTCTCCTGTACATTGCCTTGTTCAAACCCATTTAAAGTTTTTTCGTTATATGATGTTTACTGTTGAGATTTATGCTAAATGATCTTTGATGTGGATTTTTATTGGACTCAATACGTAGAAAAGATGTTTTACATTATCAAAATAAAGTCAGCCTACTGACAAAGCTGTTGTTGTTGACTATCATGGAAAGGAAACCAGAAACATGAAACACGATATAGGCAGCTTTTGATGTGAATATGATATTTCTGTAAGAAGGGATTATCACCTGCCTGCTTTGGCCAATAAGAATGAAAGAAAATATCTGCTGCATTGACGAGGAGTTAAGACTTTTAAAATTTCCTTGCATATTTATTTATGATTTGTGCGATGTTGAAGTCCATATTCTGAAGTGATTTCGCACTTTAAAATCCATAGTTCATGTACGGGCAGACAAGTGTCATGTGATCAGACATATTGCCTCGCTCTGAATTTTCATTTCCGGCCTTCGTTTTTGACGTTGACCTTGAATTTATATTGCATCCTGTCATTGTAAGTGTGAAAATGGCATTCATAAATATTTCACTTCAAAGAGTATCAATTATTCAACTTGTTACCATTCACACAATACACTTCAGTTATAAAGTCCCTTTGTGTGAAGGTCTAAAACTTCATGTTTACGTAATATCAATAATACAAATGACCAATGGTCACCTCGTGTGTGATTGGTGAAAGGCAAATCATGACATCGTCAACATTACTTTGTATTATGGTGCCAAGCATAAAATACAGAGTCGTTTCCCGTTGAACGTCTCGATTGCTTCACATTGGGATGTCAGAGATTTGTTTCCCGTTAAGTGTCTCGGTAACTACACATTAGTTTCCACAGAGTTGTCACCCCTGAACGTGTCGGTAGCTACTCTGTCAGGTTGCCTTAGAGTTATCTCCCGTTGAATGTTTCTGTAGCAACACATTAGGTTAACACAGAGTTGTCTCCCGTTGAACGTCTCGGTAGCTACTCTATCAGGTTGCCACAGAGTTGTCTCCCGTTGAACGTCTCGGTAGCTACTCTATCAGGTTGCCAAAGAGTTGTCTCCCGTTGAACGTCTCGGTAGCTACACTTCAGGTTGCTGACTTGATCCGTTTACTCTTTCGTCTGCAAAATCATCAATAAAACAGCTGATTTCAAAAAAGTTTGGTAATATTTGATTAAATTGTATTTTGCGTCGAGTTCTGAAAGCTCTGGTATATCTGATAATGCAGTGTAAAAATGGAAGCAAATGTGATTACCTCCACACTCACGATAACACAAACAATAGAAGATTTAATATCAGAAAAAATGATTGAACGATTTTGAGTCAAAGAATATAGATTTACCCAAAGATATGCTATAATATAAACATATTACCAACATAACTTGTTGATTATTTCACTTCAATTGGAATTCCACTGGTCTGAATTTACCATCACGTTTATTTTGATGTGGAACAAGTTTCAGTCTCTTAACTCGATATAAGGATTTATGATCACTGCATTGTTTGTGAGACAGAAGGAGACTGATGTCCTAAACTGCCAATCTGTTCACCATTGTAAGGTCACAACAGAATTTCACGGCATATCTAGGTTTCTTTCCCTAGCGGACAACGGATCGATTTAGTACCAGATATATAAAACATTGTGATTTTTGGTATTAATTATAGATTTGGCTGTAAAACGATTCTACGCTGATTCGTCAGTTGTTTATAGGTCTCAATAACTCTGACAGGCTACTGGTGGATCATTAGATGATGACGATAGCCCACAACAATATACAAGGCATCACTCTGATCGGTCCACTAACCCAATCTACTATGTCTATATATCGACGTAATTTCTGATATATCACCAGCTGTCATCAGTTTCAATGTTCTATAATAATAACGGGACTTAGTAGAAATTAGAGCAGTTAGTAAACGAGACAAACAATCCAGACTCCTTTATTATTGATGAACCTTCCCTTGTAGCATGTCTATCCCTACCTACATGCCGAGAGTAAACGGTCGTGTCAGTCAACATCAGCCACAAGAGGCTTCTCATTAAACATTTAAATACAACTTTCATTCTAAACCATGCATTTGAAATACCTCGAGCAAATCCCGAGAACAGCAATGTCGACAATCGACTTGAATTGCATATTTACCTGGGAAGTCGAAATGACCTAAATGATGGAATGACGTCAGAGTAGAGGTGGTTCCGGGACGAGGCTACAGGAGCCTGTAGGAGGTTGTGGGATTCTCCTTCCCCACCGCCACTGTTGGTAGTGGTCTTCGTCATGAACACCTCGGACTCAAGGGTCTCTGCAGCCGGGTCTGAGAACACATCATTGGTCTGGGACTCTTCCACACCTGAACATATGTTACAGTGTTCATGGCTTGTTGAACTGTCACTGTCATAATCAGAAACGTGATTGCATTGTTGGCTCATTAGTGCGTTGTTGGCATAGGTACAATCTACAGGTACTGAGGATTTTTTCTCTACTTTTGAATGAGTTGATTGACATTGATTGCATATTTCATTGTGGGTATCCCCAGGTGTAACATCCGGTCTTAGCATGTCGACCGGTGGACTGAGCGAGTGTGCATCTCTCATAACATCCGGAAGTGAATGTTTTCTATTTCTACTTCCGTCTGATTTTTTAGAGCTCTTCTTTGAGTGAGTTCGACACGACCCTACCCCTACCGGTATGTTCTGGTAATGACACAGATGTTGCGGTCCTGCAGTATTGTATTGTGGCCCTGCAGCATTGTACTGCTTACGGAAACACCGAAGGTGATGTGCATGCGCATTTTGGTCTTGACCTTCCTCAACCTCCGAAGCTGGACAGCAAAAACAGCAGATTTTTCTGAAACTACGGTTGAGTTTGTCAAGAATGGTTTTCCTGAGCAGAATATATATCCAAGGATCCAAAGTCTGATTAAGGCTAGCCAGTCTTATCACTGTAAGGTCAACAATGTAGTTATGACTTCCGGTGGCAATTGTGACGATGATTTGTACCTGTGAATACAAAACATATTGATTTCAGTTAATGAGAAAAAAGTCCGCGGACAGAAATGTAAGGATTATTTAAATTCATTTTAGACAATATTTTGTTTTGCTTGGTTTATGCATTTGACTTTTTTAACGTACCGATTTCATTTGACCCAGCACTGGTAAATTGATCTTGTATACACGTATGCATGTAATACCAGGCGAGAATATCACCAATTGAAAGCAATTGTAACAAATGACATTTGTTTTGATGATAATGATTTTTTCATGTTTACGAGCAGCTGATCGTTGACAGTTTGAAAAATTGATTAATCCTCACCAAATTCGGTCATTGTCCATGTTCAATAAAACTGCCACATAAATTCTAAAATAACTTTATATTGAAAATATGAAATAGATGTACAAGGCTTTATGAAGATGCCAGCAATAGCAATTACTGATAAAGATTTTCTTCGCTGACTGTAAGGCGACCATTCTTTTCTTAAGCAGTTTGTTTTGTGTTCTCATGTAAAAAAAGTTATCCTCCAATTTGTGCATTATTTTCATGATAACACATGGTGCAAAATAGCATCGCTGTTCCATGTATTTTTGAATGCTAAAACAGCCTAATCACTTTTCTTTTTTCTTTTTTATACTATAACATTCAGAAATAAGGATATGAAGAAATTAATCTAGATGATTTTCTCGAATGTCCTTAACTTAAAGTAACTTCCGGTCTCAATAGTCAGTACTTCCGGGAAACGAATGTCTCTGCTTTCGCTAAGGGGTTCCCCGAAGAAGAAATGATTTATCTGTTCTACTAGTGTTTCCTTCAGTTTTCACTGCAGTATAAAATTCTATTGATCTAAACAATCCAAACAGACAACAATAGCAATTAAGTCTTGAACAACTTGACATTGAAGAATATTAAAATAATTCCAAGGACACTTGATACGTTCCTTTATGTTTGCTAAGATATTTAGGTTTTACTCATATTTTGAAGAAAAAAAACAACACAATTCTGGTGGCAATTTCAATAGAATAGAAGTTCTTATAACACAATCATTAGAAGATTAAAGTGTAACGTTTCGATGACTACACGGTCACCTTCATCAGACAAATGACCAATGTGGAGCGTACTAGCACTGACGTACCTAGTGTACAAGATGGTAAGGAATCGACCAACTTTTGTTATGGTAAACAAATAATAGACCAAAAAATACACAAGACGGTAACAATGTACTGCAATCAATTCGGTTACGCTTTGTTTAACATTTGGCCAAAAATGCAGTGAAGTTTAGCTGTAGAAAGACAGGGATTTTAAAGACCGTCGAGAGAATATTCGAAATATATCTTATAGTAGGTAAACCCTTGGCTGACATTGTTTGTTGAGTTTGACAGAAGTCATACACTCTCCAAAGACGAAGAAGAGTTACCATTGTCACTCGGTGTTGGTTTTAGTTTTTAGATATTAAGAATTTGGTGTACGTGATGAAAAACATCAGTATATATCTCAAACAATGATGTTCATAATCAAGGTTATGCGTGATTCTACACACCATACGCATGGTCCGCATTCTATAGTGATTAATTGCTACCTTCTCCAATAGTATTCATTAAAGCATTGCTGAAACACAACATGGACCGGTAGATTGACAAACAGATTTCTTTTATAAAGTATGTAGAGACAGAGCTATTGATAGTAAAATGTGCCAAACTATATCTTTTTCATTTGTTATAGACCAACATTTTAAAGGAGAGCTCTGCTGTTCTGCAACAACAATTTGTTAGTAGTAATGTATACATATGAGACTTGAACAGTTACTCCGTTGTAGCGGTGGTAATCAGAGCAATATCATATTCAATTCTCAAATGACAAGTAGCAAGATTGATGGCAAGCTCCATGACTAAAATTGATTAGAATAACTCGTGTTTGTGTCATTATGTTGCTAAGCCGTGTCCTTGTGATATATTTTGTTCTTGAAAACACCCAATGCAATGAATATATTAAACAGTTGAAACCAGTTACCACTGTCAATGTTAAATACCCTACCCCCTCCTCAGTCCACTCGCTGGGCCCTCAACTGTCAATGTTAAATACCCCCTCAGTCCCCTCGCTGGGCCCTCAACTGTCAATGTTAAATACCCCCTCAGTCCCCTCCCTGGGCCCTCAACTGTCAATGTTAAATACCCTCTCAGTCCCCTCGCTGGGCCCTCAACTGTCAATGTTAAATACCCTCTCAGTCCCCTCGCTGGGCCCTCAACTGTCAATGTTAAAACCCACTCAGTCCCCTCGCTGGGCCCTCAGCTGTCAGTCAATGTTAAATACCTCCCCCCGTCCCCTCCCTGGGCCCTCAACTGTCAATGTTAAATACCCCCTCAGTCCCCTCGCTGGGCCCTCAACTGTCAATGTTAAAACCCCCTCAGTCCCCGCCCTGGGCCCTCAACTGTCAATGTTAAATACCCCCTCAGTCCCCTCCCTGGGCCCTCAACTGTCAGTCAATGTTAAATACCTCCCCCCGTCCCCTCCCTGGGCCCTCAACTGTCAATGTTAAATACCCCCTCAGTCCCCTCCCTGGGCCCTCAACTGTCAATGTTAAAACCCCCTCAGTCCCCTCGCTGGGCCCTCAACTGTCAATGTTAAATACCCCCTCAGTCCCCTCCCTGGGCCCTCAACTGTCAATGTTAAATACTCCCTCAGTCCCCTCGCTGGGCCCTCAACTGTCAATGTTAAATACCACCTCAGTCACCTCGCTGGGCCCTCAACTGTCAATGTTAAATACCCCCTCAGTCACCTCCCTGGGCCCTCAACTGTCAATGTTAAATACCCCCTCAGTCCCCTCGCTGGGCCCTCAACTGTCAATGTTAAATACCCCCTCAGTCCCCTCCCTGGGCCCTCAACTGTCAATGTTAAAACCCCCTCAGTCCCCTCGCTGGGCCCTCAACTGTCAATGTTAAATACCCCCTCAGTCCCCTCCCTGGGCCCTCAACTGTCAGTGTTAAAACCCTCTCAGTCCCCTCCCTGGGCCCTCAACTGTCAATGTTAAATACCCCCTCAGTCCCCTCGCTGGGCCCTCAACTGTCAATGTTAAAACCCCCTCAGTCCCCTCCCTGGGCCCTCAACTGTCAATGTTAAATACCCCCTCAGTCCCCTCGCTGGGCCCTCAACTGTCAATGTTAAAACCCCCTCAGTCCCCTCCCTGGGCCCTCAACTGTCAATGTTAAATACCCTCTCAGTCCCCTCGCTGGGCCCTCAACTGTCAATGTTAAATACCCCCTCAGTCCCCTCCCTGGGCCCTCAACTGTCAATGTTAAAACCCCCTCAGTCCCCTCGCTGGGCCCTCAACTGTCAATGTTAGATACCTCCCCCCGTCCCCTAGCTGGGCTCTCAACTGTCAATTTAAATTACCCTCCCTTCCAGTCCCCCCTTTTGGCCCTCAATGAAAGTTTTGTTAAAGATTTTCAATACTGCAATATATGTCTTCTGATTTTTACGGAAACAAAACACACTGAAGATCTTTACCAAGGATTGACTCGTGTGTTCACTATCAGATGTTACAATATTCGTTATAGAGACAACATGGTGTAGGACCTTAGTTATTGCCATGAATTATCCAAAATTATCTTTAGATAAAAAATTGCTCGTGCAAAACATGTGTTGTAATGGAGGACTAATTTGTTAAGCGAAGGCGGAAACATATTTTCATTTCTTTTGTTGCAAGTACACGTATTTGCCAAAAAGATAAGCTTTTGAAAAAAGAATATAGTTCGCCAGTCAAAATAACTTAAGCTTATCAAAATGAATGATCTAAGCGTATTTTCTGTACAGTCGCAAATTGTTAATAATTAATATGAATGTAATGCTGTGAAATGCACTTTAATTTCTGTCTATCTAAGCTGATTGGAAGCGATAATCAGATTAGAATTTCATTATATTTAGAACGCACTGCAGGAATTTGTGTTATGCATATAATACTCGATGAAAAACGTTACTATATATATATTGTATTGACTCTCAGTAAACGCAACAATTTGATAAGATTTCTGACAACTGACGACAGCCTTTGAATTATTGAACATGCTTTTAGTAAACTATCCATATTATAGCCAGTAGAATGTGAACGTATATACGTTTCTATGATATGTTTGATGAAATAACGAGGCAGTCTTGGGAAATCTAGGATATAAAATGCATTTATTCTTATATCAAACTACATGTGATGGACAGGAAGCTTGGCACATACCCAATTACTACTAAAATGAAAACAGGAAAGGTCAGTTTAACAAAATTACATTAAATCTGGTTAAATGAATGATGTATATGTGATTCATATTTGATATCAAAACAATGTCATATTTCAAATTGATACGAAACATATTTTAAAGAATGTGGATTCATTCATATAAAATTTCAGATTTCAGATTTTAGTATGTTCTGTATTCTATATAAAACTATAGTTCGGTTTCTCCTTTTTATCTAAATTTTGAAAAAAAATTACCATGGAATAAACATGATAAAGAGAGAATCTTATTATTTCAATTAAAACTTAAGGATCACATCGATTGTTGATTATAGTTACACACAGGTATTGGAAATCAATGACCCGACAGACTTTACTCTTCATCTACTCTACATCAACCACTTGTCTCGATTTTTCCTACAACAAAACCAACCTGGACAGTTTTCCACCAAGCTGTATGATAAGCGTGATGATTTGAATTTCCCTATTTTTTTATTTTTCCATTTCTGGATAGCATCATCCCTACATTCCTACCTGTAGTGTTTAATAACGCAGTTGATTTGATATTCAAGGGCATGTTTCCATTTCCACGTTATTCATACAAGGTTTCCAAGGATACAGGTTTATGAAAATAATGGGAAAGTTTAACGGTCGTGATGTTGATCTCATTGAGAAACATTCTATTTCTTTGTGAGATATGAATCTTGACGTGTTTGATGCTCGTTAGTTTGCCTGTTGGTTTCGCTGTTGTATACCTAGTACTCATTTGAGAACGTGACATAACTT